TGCTAAATTAGGGACGGCTAGCGCAGATAGCCCTCGTGTAGCTTTGCGCAAAATTCCAAAACAAACAAACAAACGAGATTTAAATGTATATACGCTTGTTTTCTGTATTTTAAGTTTTCAGTATAAAAGAGATTTTTTAACACATCTTGAGAAGAAGAAACAACTGCCATTTACTTGTAAAATAACTATAACACAATAAAAAAGATCTAAAATGGTTTTAGTTGAACTTCGATAGGCATTGAACAAATATATGAAATTCAGAAATACATTAGGATAAAGTATGATTTTAACGCACACATAATATAAATCAAGGGTCGGAAAATATAAGATTAAATTAGTAATATCAAAAACTGATAATTTAACTTTAGAAAATAACCGTTGATTTGACTCTTTTGAAAGGTTTCAGTTTCCAAATATACATGGATTCAGGAACTTTCTGATTACATATGTAATGTTAATACCAGACCAGTTAAAGAGAACCTTTTAGCTACTTCATTTGTAATTCTTACGTATAATTTTAACCCAAGTGAGTGACACAGATAAGGTGATGAAACCGACTTATGCCATTTTTACGTTTTTTACTGCGTGCGAGACAGGATGTCAATTTACAACTCGACCAACATGTTTTGAATGTCAGATGTGGGAAACCAGTAATTCCAGTCACTTATTTTACAACTTAAGCGAATTAACGATATGTACATGTTTCAGCAGAAATAAATCAGACAGAAGTATGTTCACTCCAAGTGATTAATACAGATAAGACAGGTAGACGTAGCACTATAAGATAATATTACTTTCAAAAAATCAAAGTAACTTTTTCCTTTAAGAGATAAACCAGACAAAAGGATGCTGAATCCAGGTAAGTAAAGTATAGATTATATAATATATAGATTTTTTAAAAAATCGCAGTAGATTCTTGCAGTCAGACAGAAGAATGTTCAATCCAGGGCTGAATCCAGGTAAGTAAAGTATAGATTATATAATATATAGATTTTTTTAAAAAATCGCAGTAGATTCTTGCAGTCAGACAGAAGAATGTTCAATCCAGTTTCTCACTGCTGGTTAGACAGGTAGATGTAGCATTGTACGATGTGATTTTAAAAAATCACAATAACTTCTTTCATTGCAAAGTTAGTCAATTTCTATTACATAATAATTTTGCCGCGTAAGACTAGTGACTACGAGAGTCATGTATTATTTTTTTAAATCTATATATCATACAAAAATCCACTACTTGCACGTGTTTTGTACAATACCTCTGCAGTTAAATTAAACAAATAATGAATTTGTATTTAATGAATGTGTGATTTATTTTTACAATATTAAAACGTAACCCGTATTATATAAAACAGTAGCCAAGTACTGGCACCAAATTATATTCTTCTTTATTGAAAAGAAATTAAAATTATTTCTCTCTCTCCTCTCTCTCTATGTATATAATATCGAACCAGTGAGTGGATCAAATTTCTACCAGACAAATAGTTGATACTTACTAACAAATAACCGCATAAAACTTGTTACCATCCAACCGTGAGAAATGTTACCAAGGAAACAAAAAATGCATTGTTGCTCATATTAGAAAATTCTGATCTGCAGTTTCTTGACGACTGCAGTTTCGAATGAATATTTTATCCTGATGAGCTTTGTATAACCATTACATTTGAGTTATAATTGGCGTGAACTTTTGCTTATCCTCCCTCAACCGGAAACGTGGAACATTTAGCTATACTTTTGTCATCCAATTCGAATCTATCTATTCTGTCTCTAGCATTAAATTTTACCACGTTTAAATTTAACCTTACACAACTGTTTTACAAAAATGAACATATGATTCTAATTTATGTACTTTATAGGCGCATGTTTCCTACCGTGCGGGTCACCTTTACCGGCCTAGCATCAGATACCAAGTACGCAGTGTTTTTAGACATTGTTCCCGTTGATAACAAGCGGTATAGATATGCCTACCACCGCTCGTCGTGGCTAGTTGCGGGAAAAGCTGATCCACCGTCCCCGACGAGGCTTCATCTTCATTCCGACTCTCCCTCTATAGGTGATCAGTTAAAGAAACAGGTAGTTTCGTTCGAGAAAATCAAACTCACGAATAACGAGATGGATAAACAAGGTCATGTAAGTATACTCATTTCTCTGTATTTTCTTTCTCTCTTTCATGCTATTTCAGAAATGGCATTTTTTGAAACCTGGAGTGACTTTACTGGTACATGTATAGAAGCATTGGACACACACACATGCACACATATGTAAATTCTGAACAGATACCTCAATTTTAATATTAATTAAAACTTCAAAATCCGGTAACTATTATGAGATGATGTGCACTGTAGATAGTTGCAATGAACAACAAGTGTACTTTGTTATACTTGATAAATAAGATATGCAGATAATGAACTTTTAATACGTAACAAAATTATATATATATATATACATTTATTTGAGATACACGTATCAAGCTTTTCGTATCCTTTATATAGGTCCACCGTGGATCAGTGGTAAGTTTACGCACTAACAATGCTAAAATACGGGGTTCGATTCCCCGCGGAAGACACAGCAGATAGCTCAATGTGGCTTTGCTCTGAAAACAAAACCCTTACAGATAAAAAATATTGATTAAGAATTGCGGACAGGATACTAAGTCAAGTAAAAACTACTTTTGTATATTACAAAACGACATATTATTAGTAATACATATTTGTTAGCTTCTTCTTTGAACTCTACTGACATTTTGGTTAGAAAGTTAAAACCTACGTAAGCAGAAATCTATTAAAGCGGATGTTTCTTTTGAAGGAAAAGGGGGAATAAGTGGCGAAGCTACTCTGCAGTGTCTGGGGGCATGCCTCTCAGAAAAAAAAAAGTAACTCTTACTGAAAATGGAGCATTTTGATAGTAATTGGGCTGTTTTATACCTTTTAAATGTGTTTTATAAATATTTTGGTACAGTTAAGGGGATGCAATCGCACCCACTCCTCCTATCCCCCTTTCTATGTCTATGCGCCTGAGGTAAAAATAATCTTTATAATGCCAACTATCTTAAGAAGCCAAAGGCTCTGAATCAATTTTGGAACATTCACCTATCCAAAATTGTTTTTTTCATATTCAAATCAAATTTAAGAATATTATAAGATAAGTGAAAATGTTTAGCCGTTTGTTTAGAATGTTCGCACAAACCCCCCCAGTTTACAACTGCTAGATTAGAGGGAAAGAAGGTAGTCAACAGCCCCCACTGCCAACTCGTTGGCTACTTTATTCGGCCAAATACTTGACAGTCACTTTTATAAAGCACTCATAACACCAATGTGTCGAAGGAGACGCGATCTTGAATCTTTGGATTTACGCTTGGCCCAAATGGAAAACAATTAGAAAACTAGTAAATAAATGAGGGTACATCAAAGAATAGGCTGCACTGTCTTTACAATAAATAAATGTAAATAAATAACACAGGCCTGCGATGGTTTTATCTTCTTGAAATTTTTACATGTTCTACGATAATTCCTATACACTGAATCCGAAAATGATATCCATTTTTCTCCACCACGTACATATTTTTCATAAAACGTCATAACGCAATACATAAAAGAAATACCATAACATGTAGGCTTCACAAAAAAAAAAATCAGGAATAATGAGGATTCATATTCGTTTGACATCAATGTTCTTCCCTTATCTTCAGTTTGTTTGTATTTTTGTTAACAAACATAATAATAAAAAAATTTCATTGTGCTAAACGAAATAATCATTTGATCTAAGTAAGATTTTTTTTTCTTCCCGATTTGTTAAAAATACTTACGTGATAGAAAAAAATGGATATTATTTTCTAAATCTGCGTGGCTGAGTTATGGAAAATTCGTTATTAAAACCAAAACAACTTTTATGATGCCCGGCATGGCCAGGTAGTTAGGGAGCTCGACTCGCAATCTGCCGATCGCGGGTTCGAATCCCCGTCCCACCGAACATGCTCGCCCTTTCAGCCGTAGGGGCGTTGTAATGTTACGGTCAATCCCACTATTCGTTGGTAAAAGAGTAGTCCAATAGTTGGCGGTGGGTGGTGATGACTAGCTGCATTCCCTCTGCTAAATTAGGGACGGCTAGCGCAGATAGCCTTCGTGTAGCTTTGCGCGAAATTAAAAAACAAACAAACTTTTATGAAGTTTAAATTTGCAATCGGTGTTAAAATAAAAATAAATAAAAATGTTGTAATATTAATTCTTACCCTGAAAGTATAATTTGTAAATGACTTAAATAAAATTAGTAATGAATACAAGTCACTTGCTTATTTATAAATATATTTATATATAACGCCTAGGCCAATACAACGGCTGCCGTATCCCAACTTGACTGATGAGCCCTGGTATTGAGCGCAAGGCCTAGTCGGCACTGAATATGGCAGATATATCGTGGTTGACATAAAATGTTCTTCTTTGCGTTCACTCGCGAGTTCTTAGAATGACTAAAAAGTTTTCTTCCTTCGATGCTGTGGTTCTTTGACCCGTTCTACGATCAAGCAGACTGACTAGCTTACCAAATGTTAGTTTTACTGCAATAACTAACCCGTTGTATATTCATCTGTCAATTAAAAATAAATCATTGAAACTCCTTTGTCAAAGGTGATTCTCCAACCCTAGTTCCAGGATCTAGGTGATTGATCAGTTTCCAACAAAGAATAAACTAGTAATAGCGAATTGAATTTCACGGAAATTTCTTACATTGACTGTATACGATGCCCTCCGTTAACCAAACATTTGTGTTTACAAACTGCATGTAATAATCCTATCAAATTAATTAATATTAATTCTGATAAATATAAAAATAAAATTTGAAATATATATATATATGTAAGTTGCAAGTAAATGAGCAGTTTTCATATTTTTTGCTTTGCGATTTTCTTTATTTGTTTTCATGTAACAACGTATCTTTCACATTTTCTGTTGCTCGAAGAATTTCCTGTGTTCTGCAGCTGCCGCTTTGTAGTTATTAAATGTGAAGCCTTACTCTCTTTCTCGAGTTTTGAGCTGTTTAATTATTACACAGAAACTTGGTAATTGTAGCAGGTTTAGTTTTTGACCTTGTTTTGTTTCATTAGTTTTTAGTTCCTTCAGTTCACTGTTGAGATTGGTGAAATTTTCAAGGTCAAAGGAAATTCGTAGAGGTATACATTTTCAAACATTTATATAATTACTTTGCACTGATTAAAAAAAATGATTGGTTGTAGCTGCAGTTTATTTATTTGTAGCTTATTACAACCAATATTCCAAGTTTGAAACCACACAATTATAGTTTTCGTTGTGCTTAGTCATCGTGTAATAATAATATACAACAAAACCTATATCAAAATATGTAATAACGAACTTTAACAACGGACTAGATGGAACTTAAAGAATATGTTTTTCTTATATATGTACATAAGACATTAGACGTCAAAACAACAGCAAAAGAGCAGTACGTTTGGTATAATTAGTTTAATATAAGTGAACGATATATTTTCAATATCTTAAGTGCCCTCAGTGGCACAGCGGTACGTCTGCAGACTGACAACGCTAGAAACCGGGTTTCAATACCCGTGGTGGACAGAGCACGGGTATCGTAAAATCCATGCGTAAATTTTATTAAAATTTTTTCTTGGTTTAAGAACCTCAATTTTAATATTAATTAAAACTTCAAAATCATGCAATAATAATTATGCTTTAATAGTTTATTATAGCCTCTACACTGTGATTCAACAGCTGATTTTTCTAATACAACTTTTTACAGTATTAATCTACAACATATATCATAAAGTAAAAAATAAATAAATAAGAAAATTGCAATATTCGCGAGTTTTGAATTTGCCGAACTTGTATTTTTTACGGTGGGAAATTTTGTAACCGACAAAGGAATCCTTGAGGTTATTCAAGTCAAACTAACATCTTCATAACTAAATATGCTACTAACTGGTGTCGATACAGATGTCTTACTTCGTATGAAAACTACGCCAAATGTCTATTTCATAATAATAACCCAAAACATGTTACATTAAATAGCAAGAGAAGATTCAACTCGAATGGTAAATCGTACCACTGCGTTCTGAAATTATAGTTGTATGCTTGATTATCTGCTAGAACGTTTTTGTACGACGTTTTGGAGGCCTAAAGCACACGTAGTCCACAGAAGTCACCAGTAAAGAACAGGCTTCCCTGCTTAAACTTTCCCTTAAACAAAAGACAACCGTATACTTTTTGTTTTTTCTTTAGTCAAGTACATTTATTTGGATATTAGTTAAGAAGACTATACTAAGTTTCTCGTTTAGCTTCTTCCAGAAATGTCTTTAAATTCTGCCTAGATGGATAATTCAACTATAAACACACTCTAAAACAAATATGTGTCATATTGAATATCGATATTCAACCTATTTTCTATAATTTTAACTCAGAAAAAATACTACGATTCAAACATTGCCTAACAAAAAGAGTCGGTAAAAAATAAATGATGTATTCAATAATATGCTTACAGTGCTGTAAACATTATTTGATCAAGTGAAAATTCTCATTCTTATTTGTGTGAAACTCACGAAGGAAAATACGAGAGTGATATATCGCTACCTTTTCGAGTTAGAATGCCTGCTTCTCAGTTGTGTCGTGAGTATCATGCAATTCTAAAGGCGTAATAATTTGACCAAATGATTACAGAGAAAGCTCCTGGACAAAGAGACAATAAAAAAGGCTGAAACTTGACACGATAAGTTGTAGCTTGTGAACTATTCATGTTCAGAATAACGGGTGATCTTTCATCGGGTGAAAAAAAGTCCGAGTTATCTAACGTCTGTCTTGGCGCCAGCAAATATAGCGATTCCATCTTGTTTTATTGTGTGTTCAAACACCGCACCGCATGGATCAAGTCAAAACAAATCTCCAGGGGTGGAACAATCGAAGTTGTTTGGGATGAAGTCAATCTGTGACGACCAGTGACCTTGAAGAGAGAAAGCAAGTCACGCTCCTCCGAGTTACTTCTACAATATCTCAGACGCCTTGAAAAATGAAATATAGCGTCTTTGCACGCGATCTTGTAGGCTTAACACCTATAGGTTTAACCTAAGGTAGTAAATGTATTAGATGAACGCTTCAAGTACCGAAAGAAAGAGTATTGAATTATTAACAGGGACGGTTCAATGTAAATCATTGTAAATTATGTCTGCCTATATGTTACAAACAGAGTTTCCGTATGAAATTAGTTTGGAGTTTATAAAAGTACCTTTCTAAATCCAAAGCACGTAATAAATATTGTTTTTAAAAATTGACATAATACAGCTAAAGGACTCTTGAAGGACTGATACAGTAGGCTGTAATTTAGAAGTCGTGGCGAGTGTCAAAACAGTGAGGTAAGCTTTATCGAAAACGTAAGAATTTGTATATTTGAGATGTAAGACTACGTTTGTACTATATGTATTGTTGTAATGGTTTCTGTTACCGGGCTGATTAGTTTGAATGTTTCGGTAAAATATAAAGTCCAAACCATATATTGACAACGAAAGCGTTTTATTTCTTCGACTTCAAGTTTTACAACTTCTTTGTTTGTAATTAAGCACAAAGATACACAATGAGCTATCTGTTTTCTGCCCACCACGGGTATCGAAACCCGGATTCTAGCGATGTAAGTCCGTAGACATACCGCTGTGCCACTGGGGGCGTTTTACAACTTATACGGTACCACGAAATAACGATAGGCCTAGCCACAAATAGCACTAGATAGTTATTTACTTATGATGTAATTATGCAGAAGAAAAAAAAGGTTTCTTTGTAGGAGCTGGTTATTTGATTTCTTTAGATGAATAACATACAAATTGTTTCTGAACGTTCTTGTCCACTTTCTTATGCTACATTATAACCCTGATAAATAAGGGCTCTTCCGGAACGGTAGTACACAAATAGATCAAGCTGGTATTGTCCGGAACTGGTTCTAAGAACATGAAAATTACTTCAGCCATCTTTCTTGATCAGCACAATTACCAGTTTTCAATCTGGCTTAGTATTTCTGGTATGAGCTTGAATGTCACGTTCGTTACCTTAAATCTCGGTAAACTGGTTACAATTGAAGTTACCACCCGTAAACTTATGGAATCTATACCAAGCCATCCATCGGGAAGATAATCTAACACGATATTAGGTGGAAGTGCTATTAAAGTGTAGAGGCAACATATTTGTTAAAATGAATTATTTAAATACGTTAGAAACAACAAAAAATATCACATATATATATCTTCTTTTGTGGTATATAACTGACACTATGTAATCTATATCTGTAACTTATCTTTACTAAGTGTAGTTTTATATAACTAAGATGTATATGTAATCAAACATCTAAAATTATATGCAGAACGTTCACTAAAAAATTGTAAGTTTGGTGGCAAGTAGTGAAATCATTATAACAAACGAAACATCTGTTGAACAGTTTAGGTGGGTATATTACTATTCCTACACAGGTTAAGTTAGATAGTTTATTGATTAACAATTTCGTGTTCCAAAAGAGGCTTTATTTAACTACCATCCCGTTATATCCATATCGATATGCAGTAGCTGACAACTTGACCCAAAACTGATCAATAGCCTCATCAAACAGTAGACAACCGTTCAGGTTCTCTTCTTCTGTCTGTCAACTTGATGATGTCTTTAAGTAAATAAAGAAGTGTAAAGATTTTTTAATCTTTAATATGAGATCCTTATAGTACACTTCGATTGTTATTTTTTTGTTTGTAGAAATGTTTGAATTGATCTTGTTAACACCCTTACTCTGTCCATGTACACAAGATATTTGCATAAGTTAATTGTGCTATTTGTATTGATGATCATATGGACCATGTATAAAAAGTATCCATTCATCATATCTACATGTGTTTACATTTTTCTTTTACTTACATGGATTGACATCTTCCCTTTACTTACACATCTTACATCTTTCCATTACGTTCGTGCTTTTTATACCTTTCTTTTACTTACATGCATTTACATCCTTCTTTTACTTACATGCCTTTAAATTTTTCTTTTACTTACATGCTTTTACACCTTTCCTTTCCTTTCATAGGTTTACATCTTTTCTTTATTTACGTGCTTTTACATCTCTTCTTTAGTTACATGCCTTTAAATTTTTCTTTTACTTACATGCTTTTACACCTTTCCTTTCCTTTCATAGGTTTACATCTTTCCTTTATTTACGTGCTTTTACATCTCTTCTTTAGTTACCTGCCTTTATACCTTTTCTTACTTACATACATTTAAATTTTCCCGTTACTTATCTGCATTTAAATCTTTCTGTTACTCACAAGCATTTACACCTTTCCTTTGCTTAAATAGATTTGCATCTTTCTTTTATTTACATGTGTTTGCATTTGTTATTTATCTGTCTCTGTGTATTATTAGATAACACTTTTTGCAACAAATCAAGTTTCATACTGTCCACATTACGCACCAATTTTAAATCTACTAAAGCTGAATTAATTAATGAACCTATTTTAAATGGGTTTAAAGGCTGCTTAAAATGTACATATATATATATATATTAAGGAATATTTGTTTTTCCATTTTCAGATACAGCTGAAACGTAATCCCTGAATTAAAAGCTTCACATTTTCCTAGAGTTTACGATCGTAATAGTTTTATTATTTAAATAGATCGTCTAATTTCACAACTTTAAATGTTATGTTATATCAAAATTTTGGCTGTGATTATAAACAAGAACAACAAAAACTAACTCAGACTCTGTAGGTAGGTGATAAACTGTTTATGGAGTAAATAATGACAGAAGGTTGCATGATACGAATGACAAAACTTTACTGAAAATAACTTATTAAAACGTTTGAATTTAACTAAAAGTTCCCATAAGAGTAATTTTTAAAAGGAAAACGCATTCATCACTGCAGCTTTTACAGTAAAACGTGTTCTCTCGACACGCACATCAATGACTGAAATGTATTATGTTTGCAAAAGACTAGATCATCATCGTGTGAGGACCATCACAAGTTTGTTAATTTATCTTTGCATTAATTTAATGCAAAAGAGTGAACTAAGCTTATTCTTTCTGGTAGAAACATACATTAATGCAGCTCTCTGTAAAATCACATTTCATGTGTCTTGTTATTTTCTCCCTTCATAATTGTCACGAATGAGATTTTGAATAGGTAGTTATATGTAATTCCAGACTTACGCTCACGCATAGGAAATAAATCTCGATGCTTACGCACAAAGTACAATATGATTTGAAGAAGCGTAGCAAATATAATTTATCATCCCTGCTGCAGTATAAGCCTTGATTGGATGATACAACTCATGGGATGTACTATTTTAATTCATGAGACCAATCACATGCAAAGAAGCATGAATCTGTGAAATAGTTCTAATACATATACTTCAAATTAACAAACAGCTTGATAAATTGATTTAGTACGCTAAAAATCTTCCGTGATCCAAATTACTGTGAGATGGACGATATTATGTTTGCCCAGTAAAACATAATATTCGAATCTTGGTTCCATCTACTTGAAATTTCAGGATCACGATATCCGTGTACATTTGGCTGCAACATTGAATTTAAAATTATAGATAATTTCAATTTTGCATGCATGTAACTACACATGGTTTATGTAACTTTAGCTCAATTATTCTCGCCAGTGTCTTGATATTTAGACTGACACTAACAAGCATACTCACGATTCTATATCGCCTGCAACTTTACATTTCCTTTTAATGGGAAAAGAAATAGTCAGTTAATTTCTATGAAGCATTCGTATTAAAACCAATTCATTTCATTGTTCAGTTGGCTATCATAAGAATTAATTACTTCGTAAGTATTAAAATAAAACACTATATGAACGAAAAAAAATTGTTAGATGATTGAAGGTTTTCTTTACAACCAAACCTAAATTACTGCAGCTGTGGAGTAATAATTAAAATATTTTTTATTCCCTGGAAAAACATTATTTAGTGATTTAAATATCTTTATGTTCCACATATTTCACTCTTTACAGATCGTACTGAACTCCATGCACAAGTACCAACCAAGAATTCATATTGTAAAGCTGGAAAGCGACTCGTTAAACACCTCTATATCTGACCTAGACTCACAGGCTTTTCGAACATTTATCTTTCCAGAAACTGTATTTACTGCTGTCACTGCTTATCAAAACCAGTTGGTAAGTTCTTTCCTTTTTGTATGTTTTATGAGCTTCTTGTTGTTTTCAAAGTGAGTTATCCAGTTTGTTGTTGATATACGTGATTATATACACAGTCTGCATTTATTCATCTAATGTTTACCATTATAGACTGTCTTTATATTGCGCTTTAAACTACGGTCATTTTGAGTCTATCAGAGTTGATTAATATTGCGAAAGCAGTTTACAAAACTACGTGTAAAATATTTTAAAACTAATATGATTGTTTTTTCTTTCATTGTTATTCAAATCTAGTGTAAGCTGAAATAATTAATTAATCTACTTTAAACGGGATTAAAGGCTGCTTAAAATGTATAAGTATGATGCATATTTATTTTATGTTTTATTTATAGAATATGGACAATGACAGCTTTACTTAACCTGAAAACTTAAACGGATTACCAACCATTTTGCCATCCGAGGATAAATAATTTATTACACAGTTATAAGACTTTAAATCTTCCTTTCGTTAAAATGCAACAAACACGACAATTTTACAGTTTTTCGCTCTAAAATCTGACTTGTATAAATAAAAGTCTGTAAGGTTTTTCATTATCAAAAGGAAATTTCATTACACACTACATGCACTTCATAGACTTGAGTACTTTGCATTTAAAAATTTGAGAACGTTATGCATGACGTCATTATTAATATTATCAATCAGTAATTTTTAAATATTAATAAAGTTTTTCTCAAATCAGATTCAGTGACTGAGTTAGTGTATTACTGATCAACTTATATATTATATAGCAAATAAACAAGCTAGCATATCCGATGAGATATTTTTATCTAATATAATTTTAATCTTTCGTTAACAGTTGTTTTATTATTTCATTTTATCTTTTTTATTTTGATGGAATAAAGAAAGGTTGTTAAAACCAGTAATATTTTTTTCACAGATAATATAATGTTACTCCTTCGTTTAGATTATTTTGTTCTATATTTCTTAAACAGAACAGTCTAATGTCAAAGATCATCTGTAATGACATAAATTTATTACATCGCGTATTGCTAACTTACATAATTTACATATTAAGCTACAAAATCACCATTGTTGCGGAATTTCACGCATTATTATACTCATTATTTTATAAAACAAAATTTCAAACTTTAAATTTGTATCTACTTTATACTTTTGGACTAACTTTACGGAAATGTTCATATTCAGAATGCTTTAAATGACCTTGTATGGCTGAACATGTAAAATCATTTTTTTCTAAACAGATAACCAAACTGAAAATTGACAGCAACCCCTTTGCTAAAGGTTTTAGAGACTCCTCCCGTATTACGGAAATAGAAAGGTAAGGTATTTGGACCAAAACCTTTTTTTTTCCCTAAATAGCAGATAAATAATATTACTTGCAGAGAACAAATCAGTCAAAATCTTTAATTTTACTAGTGTCGACATTATTAAACCTGAACGATCACTCACCTAGTGCTATATATCATCTCCAATTCATGGCAGCCTATCATAAATGTCCACTGTAGCCCACCCTTCCTACATGCGTTTTTAGATGTTGTATTAAGGACTGTCAAATTTGATTAACGACTACACACCTTACAGTTGGTTATTATCTTGATGAAGGTATAAGCTTCTTTGGGCTCGTTTTTTTTTCAAATCACTTTCTTTTAAGCAAATCAGAATATCATAATCAAGAAACAGTCTTTAGTCTCTTGCATTGTTTGATTTTTCGAAGCACTAGGCCTCGAAGATGAAAATCATTCGTTGCTTTGCTTAATAATGATTTTATCTTTTTCAGAGAGTCTATAGAGGCTGTCATTACCAATGTCCGTTCACCTCTACAATCATTACTGGACGTGGAAACCGATAACATGCTACTACGAGACAAAATAACTTTGCTTAACCTCCCTCATCGACCACCATTTTTGTGGAATCCGTCAGAATTTTACAGCAATATCGCACACAGTGATATTTATCGATTTATTTCTACCAATCCAAACTGCATGTCTCAATTTTACTCGCTCAGTACCACCAATCGTTTTCATCCTTCTTTTCTTGGATTCTCTCCCCAGTCACTACCCAACTGGCACTCCCCTACTGAAGGTGTTCAACAGGCTGGATTTATGACACATTATGACGTAATTTCCGGTAATTCTCATGTCGGAAGTATTATTCGCCCAACAGTTCATCATTCAGATTCTGTGTTACATCTTGGCGCTCGTCGTTATTCTCCCTATCCTTACTCGAACAAAGATCAGATGTCATCATCAGCTGGTGTTGAATTTGTTCAGACTGAAAGAAATCCGACGACTTTTAGGTGATAAAAGCGAGGATTTTACTCTGTGAATTTGTAACTTATACACGTACTTCATTAGTTATTTTTAGAGGACCTGATCCAGATAGTGATGATTTAATAAATAAAAACTCAAAACAAAGAACGAAAATGTGCAATTCAACTGTCTTGAGTGTGGGGAATATAAAGCTTGATTAGAAAACAATTTTAAATGTATTGAAAGTCTGTGAATGTAAAGTGTTTAGTGTCATTTGAAAAGCTAGTCGAACTTGCACCGATTAATACACTTGTAGTTTGTTTTAATTGTTAATATGTCCAAGTTTACAGCAAACAAGCTAGGAACGTTTCAGGAGACTAAGCTACTTGTTGAGTCGAATAGCATCAAAACTGTTATATATTCTTTATTTGATTGCATAATATTTTGTAAAAATAACATATCCTGACAAAAACTGAAGAAAAACATTATACAATTGGTTGGTTTGTTTCTTGTTAAGCACAAAGCTACAATCTGTGCTCTCCCCATTGCGGTTATTGAGACCCAATTTTTAGCGATATAATTTCTCAGACTTACTGCTGAGCCACTGGGGAAGAGGGGGGGAGCTATACAATTGGTATAATGTTTTTTTTTTATAATCAAAGGAATACTTCTAAATTAAAAGAAAATAGAATCTTGTGCAGTAATGTACACCCTCATTCCAACACAGGCCCTTGAAATCAATACAAGGGTTGTTACCAAGTTACAAAAAATAAAATAAAAGACATTTATTTTCTCTTACCGAAAACTAACCAGATTTTGAAAAGTAAAATAAAAAAAATCTAATACATTTATATGGAAGATCAAATTATTAATGTTGCATTATCTAAATCAGCTATAGCAATTCCTAAAATATATACAAAAATGGTTATTGACACACTAAATATGCCCCAAAATACCACCCAATGATCTTTCCGAATAATTTATACTTTATTGTATAAAATAATTAGAATATTAAGTTCAAGTCTTCGTAAATTTCATGTATTAATTGATTTTCATAATAAATTATAACTGCAAGTTATGGAATCGGTGTAAAGTATAGAACTGTTTATTTGTAATTATTACACAATGATGAACAGACGGGAGATGTGTAAATAAAACAGTGTGGTAAATATAACAGCAATCATTGTTTAACGTAATATGTAAGGGTGTAGATATTGTGTAAACAGACAATAAATAGGTGTGCATTACTGTTGGATTTTTTCTGTTATTCACAATGTTGTTTTTGTTAAAAAACAATGAATTTTTAGTTCAAGCCATAGCCATATTAAAATATATGGGACCTCACGTAGTTTGATCTTGATAGCGATATTTATATGAACTGTAGAATAATCTAGTGTAAATAATCATTTTCTACATTCTAAAATACGTTGAGCAATGTGTGCGTGTAACGACAAAATATGTGATTTCAACTCCCAATAATACATACTTTTATGGTAATATTTCAATAGTAACCCACATATGTTATAAAATTACTATCGATGCGTGATATACGTTACAGACTTCTCTGGTGTAACATCAACACCTTTCGATATACGCTTCAGACTTTCTTGGTGAAACGTCAGAACCGTTTGATATACACCACAAACATTCCCGGAGAATCATCATAACTGTTCAATATACACTACAGATTTTCTTGGCGAATCGTCAGAACTGTTCGATATGCACTACAGACTTCCCTAGTGAAAAATCTAAACCATTTGATATACGCTAATGACTTTCCTTGAGAAACGCCAAGACCGTGCGATATAAGCTACAAACTTCCCTGGTGAAACTACAAACTTCCCTGGTGAACCATCACAACAATTCGATGTAAACTACAGACTTCCTTAGTGAATAGTCAGAACCGTTCGATATACCCATCAAATCCCTCTGTTGAACCATCACAACCGTTCAATGTAAAGTGAAGACTTCCCTGGGAAGAAAATCAAAATCGTTGGATATACACAACAAACCTTCATTGTGAACCATTCGATATCATTACAGGCTTCCCTCAAGAAACATCAAAACAGTTCGAGATAAACTTCGACCATTTCTCATCATATTTCAATAGTAAAAACTCGTACGTGTGCAGGAGATGTATATCACAGTGGTAATTAAAAACCTGATTTGAGATCGTAAAACAGTTTACTGCTTATCCGATATGTTGAAAGTACAGACAAACAACAAGATCTCGTTCGATCAGCATATGTCAGATCTTTATAATCCTTGTTTAAATCTCTAACAACTGGTTCGATACTTCGTGGATTTTGCTTACTTCTCGCCAGTGGATTTTATCTGCTATTCGACTGTGGATTGTACTTGCCTGTAATGGGAATCCCCCGTAAGTCGAGATTATGAGGCTCTCATAAGCATCTTTAATCACACGCTAACCTGAGTTTGAGTACTTGTAAAAACGTTGATAGGAATAATATCAATTTCAATATACCAACGTTCGTTTAATGGCCACAATTTTTTTATTTCATGTTTAAAGGTTGATGGACCTTTCCGATGTATAAATTTACGATGAGAATAAAACGTATCAAAATATGAAAGATGCGATTTGTAAAATGATTTTTTAAGATTTCTCATATATATAAATAAATATATATATACATACGTGTGTAGACACGGATACTTATCACCTTATTTTAAAGAAATGTTTTTGTTTTTTAAGTTAAGGTGATTTTTTTACCGATAAAGTACAAGTGCAAAATTATTAAGTATATTAATCGTTTCTGTAATGAATATTTTATTATAGCTTTTCTTTTAATGCATTAGAATAAGATAATTCAACTGATATATAAATAGTTTTGTTTGTTTGTTTATTTCTGAACAAAAAGCTACACAATGGGATATTTATGCTGTGCCAATTACGGATATCCAAACCCGAGTTTTAGTGTCATAAGTCCAGAGACTCTACTGAGCAACTGGGAAGAGGAGCTATATAAATAGTGCATGTTCATTTAACTAAAATAACCATGGATACTAATTTTAACGTGAGTATATTCACGTTTTTTTTTTGTTGTTGTTTTTCAGAACTATAAGCTATTCTAATTAATTCTCTGATCATTTCGCCGAAATATAAGACAACATAAATGCAACCTCACTGAAATCTACTTTTATCATGGACTTAAAACTACTGAATACACTTCTAGTAAAAATGCTATCTTTCTTGTAATGCTTAGTACCTCAATCCATTAACCCAACCTTACACTGTACAATTTTTATGCCCCTTTTTACGAGTTGAATATTAACCACTGCAACATTTTATTTTTTGTAAAGATTGATCCCTGACGTTGTTTCGTCAATGGGAGTGTTGTTATAAACATATTGTATAATTCACTAAACTATAAACAGAAGGCACAAAGGCAAGACTTGAAGTTGTCTAACTAATTTAATATTTTGGCAAACTGTTCACAAATCAAGAAGCGCATATTTATGAATTTATCACTTGTATTATATTTTCACCATAGCTTTTGTCCGCAGACATACCGCTGTGCCACTGGAGGACATTCACCACAGCAAGTCTTTGAACAGATTAGACCATGTTAATAGTTACCACAGTTAGGATCATGTTAATATTTAACATTGTTTTGACCATGTTAATAGTTACCACAGTTAGGATCATGTTAACATTTAACATTGTTTTGACCATGTTAATAGTTACCACAGTTAGGATCATGTTAATATTTAACATTGTTTTGACCATGTTAATATCTACCACAGTTATGACCATATTGATTTTTAACTCTGTTTTGACCATGTTAATTAAATATCTACCACAGTTAGGACCGTGTTGATTTTTAACTCTGTTTTGACCATGTTAATATCTACTACACTTAGGACCATGTTGATTTTAAACAATGTTTTGACCATGTTAATATTTTCACAGCTAGGACCGTGTTGATTTTTAACACTGTTTTGACAATATTAATATCTACCACACTTAGGACCTTGTTAATTTTTAACACTGTTAGAACTATTTTAATATTTAGCATCATTAGAAATGAGATGACTTAATCCACTAGAAAAAATTCGGGTCATATAAATTCGAAAGATAATGTAGACAGTGAAGCTTCAGATTATCAACTTATCTTTACTCCATTCACTACTAGTGAGGGCCATATATTACAGTGAGTAATTTTATGTTTGTGCTTGTTACAACATTCAATGTAAAGAACTACTACACTGATTGGATGAAGTCATTCATCTTCTATATAAAATATATAAGAGACTGCAATGTATTTGTGACTTTTTCCAGAGGATTAAATATTCGACATATACCAGGCATTCATTCACACATTTACTGCCCCCCCCCCCAGTGGCACAGTGGTATGTCTGCGGACTTACAACGCTAGAATCCGGGTTTCGATACCTGTGGTGGGTAGAGCACAGATAGCCCATTGTGTAACTTTGTGCTTAATTACAAACAAATAAACAAAACACAATTACTCTGCAATATAAATGGCTCACAACTGTCATAATCTGTAATCCGAAAGTCTACAGTTAAACGTTATAGGGGTTAACACAAAAATATTAATGGTATTTTTATTTCATTTTTTGTGCCTCATTTATTATTAGAGACCCTGCATCCAACAAATTCACAGACCTACAAGCAAATTGGTGTATAAACAGTTTAGTATAATGTGTTTAAAAAAGCCTATGTATACGGACCTCATTAGTAATTCTAGGGTTTACAATTCCTATGCTAAAGACATCTAATCTAAGTTTTACAGTGGAGGTTTACAACAATGCAAATTTTTCTGTTCTGTACTTCATTATTTTTTTACCTTGGAAAATTCTACCTCCAGATCTCAGTGACATTATTTAACCTACAGATTTCAATGAAAACATTTTATCTGCAGATCTCATTGATATTATTTAACATACAGATCTCAGTGATATTATTTAACCTACAAATCTCAGTGATATTATTTAACCTCCAGATCTCAGTGATATTATTTAACCTCCAGATCTCAGTGACATTATTTAACCTACAGATTTCAATGAAA